TATGAGGTGGCTGATTAATGGCTCACTCAGCTCTCACGCTCTCGCAGAGTGCTCCTCCGTGTACACAACCCTGAAGGAATTGCCAATTGCTGCTTTTCTAAGGATCAAAGTACTAGAACTGTCAAAAAACTAAGTGACAGCAATCAGGGTGGGATGGGATGTCCCCTTTTGAGTCTGCTATGCACAGCTGTGAAGAAAGCTGTCCTCCAGCCTCCAAAGCCACAGAGAAGCCCTGTCTCGAAAAACCAAAAAAAAAAAAGAAAAAAAAAAAAGAAAAAAGAAAAAAGAAAGAAAGCTGTCCTCAAAACTTTCCATGGGGATCCTAGCCTCAGAATATTTCTGGAAGGTGGGCTTCAGACCCTTCTTTCATTCTTTGATAATTTCACACAGTGCCTTTTAATATTCCTTCCCCCTCCCAACTCTTCCCAGATGCCTTCCCCATCCAACTTCTTTCCTGCTCTTTCTTTCTCTCAAAAAACAAAAACTAAAGAGAAATGCACTAAGACACATGGAATCCAATTTGTTCTGGCTAACTTCTTAACTTGGGCCTGCGTGGAAGTGTGGTTAGTATACCCAGTATTCCTCCATAGATGAAAACAGATTTCCCTCCTCCAGGCATCTGCTATTTACAAATACCTGCTTGACTAGGGTGGGACTTTGGTCCCCACTCCTCCTCCATAATGACACTTTGGTCTGGCTCGATCTTGTGCAGGTCCCAGTCTCTGTGAGTTCAGAGTAACTAGCAAAGACCCACCACTAGACAAGCTAGAAAGTGACAGATGCCGGGCTTTGGTGGTGCACGCCTTTAACCCCAGCCAGCACTCGGGAGGCAGAGGCAGGAAGATCTCTGTGAGTTCGAGACCAGCCTGGTTTACAAGAGCTAATTCCAGGACAGCCTCCAAAGCCAAAGAGAAACCCTGTCTCGGAAAAAAAGAAAGAAAGAAAGAAAGAAAGAAAGAAAGAAAGAAAGAAAGAAAGAAAGAAAGAAAGAAAGACAGACTTTGGAGTGCTGAGTCTTAAAAGGGACCTCTCTCTCTCTCTCTCTCTCTCTCTCTCTCTCTCTCTCTCTCTCTCTCTCTCTCTCTCTCTCACACACACACACACACACACACACACACACTCACTCACACACCCTCAAGGCTCATGGATCTATGCAGAAGAGGAACGAGGAAAGCTGGAAGAGCCTGGGGTGGCAGACCATTTTAAGGAAACAACATTTTCCAGACACAAAAGGCAGATGAACATAGTAACTTACAGAGACAGCCAAGACCATTTAAGGCAGGCCACCTTGGTCTCTGCTGGCTCCTTGCAGAAGCTACGGCCTCAGCCTGAAGGCAAGAGAGGAGGCTAGAGCTTAAGCCCTTTTCTTTCTTTATTCCCTTTTTTAAAAAAAATTTAGAAACAATCATTTTACATATCAATTCCCTCCATTCCCTCTCCCTCCCACCCTCCCATGCCCACTACCAACCCCCCAACCCACCCCCTACCTGTTCCCTTAGGATAGTGAGGTCTTCCATGAGGGATCATCAAAGTCTGTCACATCATTTGGGGTAGGGCCTAGGCCCTCTGTGTATCTGGGCTGAAATAGTATCCCTCCATAGGAAATGGCTCCCAAAGTCCATCTGTGCACTAGGGATAAACTCTGGCTCCACTGTTAGAGGTCCATAGACTGCCCTGGCTTCCTAGCTGGCACCCACATTCAGAGGCTTGCTTCAGTCCAATGCTGCTTCCCCAATGCTGCTTCCCCAGCTTTATGACTGGGTCCCTGTGCTGTCCCTAGGTCAGGTCAGCTATCTCTGTGGGTTTCTCCAGTGTGGTCTCCACCTCTTTGCTCATCCTTCCTCCCTCTCTACGACTGGTTTCCAGGAGTATGGCTCAGTGTTCAACTGTGGGTGCCTGCTTCTGCTTCCATCAACTACTGGAAGGCTTAAGCCCTTTTCTGAGAAGAAAGCATCATAAGGATCCTTGTACTTGTTGGCACACGCCATTAACCCCAGCAGTGGCGGAGGCAGGCAGATCTCTGTGAATTTGAGGCCAGCATGATCTACATAGTGAGTTCTGGAACAGTCAAATCTACATAGTGAGACTGTCTCAAAAATATATAAAAATTAAATTAAGCCCTGGAGTTGCATATGGCAGTCCACACCTCTAACCCCAGTACTTGGGAGGCTGAAATTTAAAGATTGTAGTTCAGAGACTAGACTGGAATACACAGTGAGTCCTAGTCTCAAAAGAAAGGAAATAAAATGCCTTGGACATTTGAGTGATAAATTGATCCAGGATCCTGCAACAAAAACACAGAGAGAAAGGGGCAGGGGTAATGTCTCAAAATGTCTTCCTTTAGAAAATTTCTCCAGGCTAGGCATTGGTGGCACACGCCTTTAATCCCAGCACTTGGGAAGCAGAGGCAGGTGGATCTCTGTGAGTTCGAGGCCAGCCTGGTCTACAGAGCAAGTTCCAGGACAGCCTCCAAAACAGTACAGAGAAACCCTGTCTCGAAAAACCAAAAAGCCGGGCGTTGGTGGCGCACGCCTTTAATCCCAGCACTCGGGAGGCAGAGGCAGGCGGATCTCTTGTGAGTTCGAGGCCAGCCTGGTCTACAAAGTGAGTTCCAGGACAGCCTACAAAGGTACAGAGAAATCCTGTCTCGAAAAACCAAAAAAAAGAAAAAAAAAAAAAAGAAAAAGAAAAACCGAAAAAAAAAATTTCTCCAGGAATGATTTAATTAACTTTGTGTGTGTGTGTGTGTGTGTGTGTGTGTGTAAACCTGGTTGGCACTAGCTTTGAAATCCTCACCATTTACATCAATGCTTGCTTACCCCACTCCAACAAGATTAATAAAACATTCTTGGGTCTACAGGGTTCATCAAGTGTGAATCCATTGTTCATGGCAGGTTGTTTTTGAACTAGCAGAAGGCAGTCATAGATGTTCATTCTGGTAGAAAGCATCTCCAGTGAGTGGAATCAAAGCTAAAGAACAAAACTGAAAATAGGCCACAGATGAAAACTAATAATGCCATAGCAGGGCACACCTTTTATCTCAGCTCTCAGGAGGCAGAGACAAGTGAATCTCTGTGAGTTCGAGCCTGGCCTGTTCTACACAGTGAGTTCCAGGCCAGTCAAAGTTCCACATAGTGGAGCCGGGCATTGGTGGAGCACTTGGGAGGCAGAGGCAGGTGGATCTCTGTGAGTTCGAGACCAGCCTGGATTACCAAGCGAGTTCCAGGACAGCCTCCAAAGCCACAAAGAAACCCTGTCTCGAAAAACCAAAAAAAAAAAAAAAGTTCCACATAGTGAGATACTGTCTCAGCAAACAAACAACAACAAGCAACAGAGGGTTATATATTTATTTTCTTAAAACACTCCAGCAGGAGAAATGGAGAGACACTGGATGGCAAACCAGTGGGCTGGGCTACCTCAGCCCGTAGCAGGTTTGCCTAACATGCACGAAGCCCTTGGAGAATACTCAGTACCCCATAAACCAGGCATGGTGGTGCACACCTCAGATCCCAGTGCTCAGAAGGTAGAAGCCGGGGGACCCGAAGTTCAAGGTCACCCTCCACTATATATCAAGTTCCAAGCTAACCTAGGATATACGAGACCCTGTCTCAAAGAAGCGAGTCACATGCTTCGGAGAAGCACAATGGCCATGAGACAGAGGAAGGATGACCGCAAGGGTGGCCAGAATAGAGAAGCGGTTTTGAATTGAGTCTCTCCTGGTCCCTTCTCCCTTAGCCTCCTGTGTTTCTCTTTCACACACCTCATTCTTTTTTTTTTTTTTCTTAAAGATTTATTTTATGTACACACTATTCTGCCTGCATGTATCCCTGCAGGCCAGAAGAGGGCACCAGATCTCATTACAGATGGTAGTGAGCCACCGTGTGATTGCTGGGAATTGAACTCAGGTCCTATTAAAGAGCAACGGGTGCTCTTAATCTTTGAGCCATCTCTCCAGCCCCACGCACCTCATTCCCAGTAAAAATCTTCTCAAGAGCCTAATTCTAAGCCTGTTTCAGTCTTTGGGGCAGGGCAAGCCAGGCATTGAATAAGTGCTCAGCAATACCTATTAAGTTGACCAGAAACTCATGTAAGTTCTGCTATAAGAGAACACAACTGACAATGTGAAATAATAATAATAATAATAACAATAGCAGCAGCTAAGGCTGACGCAAAGCTTAACCCCTGCCAGGTACTGTTCTAAAAATTTTTCCCCTTGGCTTTCTGAGACAGGCTTTCTCTGTGTAGCCCTCTGTAGACCAGGCTGGCCTTGAATTTACAGAGATCTGTCTGCCTCTGTCTCCTGAGTGCTGGGATTACAGGTGCGCACCACTGCTGCCCAGTAGTTTTAAAGTTATTTACAATGTTAATCCACCCCTCACAACATCCCCTTTGTGGACTCTACTGTCATCCATTTATAGACTATGCAGCCTGCACGGTGCTGAACTTCTACATCAGGACCAGAGTCAGGGGCTGAGGAGATATCTCAGTTAGCAAACTGCCTGCCACACAAGCTTTAGGACTTGAATTTAATTTCTAGAACTCATGGAGACAAGCTGGGTGTTGGAGCCATCCAAATGACTCATTGGGTAAATGATGATTTGGATTTGTTCTCCAAAACCCACATGGTAGAAGGAGAAAACCAACTCCCCCAGGTTGTTCTCTGACCTGGACATGATTGCCTTGGCATGTGCATGAACACAGACACACAGACTCACAGACACACAGACTCACAGACACACAGACACACAGACACGGACACACACGAACACAAATAATTAAATGCAATAAAAATGTTTTTGAACAGTCCAGGATTTACTAACCATGTTATAACCCCAGTAAAGAACATGCCTTTAATCCCATCACTTGGGAGGCAGAAGCAGGCAGATCTCTGTAAGTTTGAGGCCAGCCTGGTCTACAAAGCTACACAGACAAGCCTTGTCTCACAAAACAAAACAAAACAAAACAACATTAAAGACCAATGATATTTTCTTTCTCACCAGGCTCATTCAAAAGTGTGGCATAACTACGACAAAAACTTCCGCCCCCATCAGAAGGGTTTGCTGTCCATTACCTTGGGGTCCCACTGGATAGAACCAAACAAGACAGAAAACATGGCCGATACAATCAGCTGCCAGCACTCCATGGCTTCTGTGCTTGGATGGTTCGCCAACCCCATCCATGCGGACGGCGACTACCCTGAGTTCCTGAAGACGATGGCCGCCATGCCCGCGTTCTCTGAGGCAGAGAAGGAGGAGGTGAGGGGCACAGCTGACTTCTTTGCTTTTTCCTTCGGACCTAACAATTTCAGGCCCTCGAACACCGTGGTGAAAATGGGACAAAATGTGTCACTCAACTTAAGACAGGTGCTGAACTGGATTAAACTAGAATATGACAACCCTCGAATCTTGATTTCGGAGAATGGCTGGTTCACAGATAGTGACATAAAGACAGAAGACACCACAGCCATCTACATGATGAAGAATTTCCTCAATCAGGTTCTTCAAGGTTGGTTGCACTTTGACTAATTTTTTTTTTCCATACAGGGTTTCTCTGTGGCTTTGAAGGCTGTCCTGGAACTCGCTCTTGTAGACCAGGCTGGCCTCGAACTCACAGAGATCCACCTGCCTCGGCCTCCCAAGTGCTGGGATTAAAGGCTTGTGCCACCAACGCCTGGCAGTTAAATTTTTAATAAATGTATGTACATATAGTTTGCTTGTGTGATTGTATGCTGTGTGTGTAGAGGTAGGTGCTCTTAGAGGCCAGAAGAAAGGGTCAGATGGCCTGGAGTTTGAATTACAGGCAGCTGTAGCCACCTGACATTGGTGCTAGGGACCAACCCCCGGGCCTCAGGAAGAGCTGCAGACATTTGTAACTGCTGGGCTGTTCTCTCCCACGCCACTCAGGGTTTTTTGTTTAAGGTAGTTACCTTGGATATGTCCTTACTGGTGTTGGCTTTTCTATTCTTCAGTATTGACCAAAATTTGTTTGTTTGTGAGTGACAGGGTCCTGCATCGCCCTTGAACTTCTGTTTCTACTTCCTGAATGCTAGGCTTACAGGCTGGACCACCACCCAGCTGTTTCATTCTTCATAAACAATATATGGAGATACGCTTAAGTTTCCTATCAAGATCAAGGCCAGCCTGGTCTACAGAGCGAGTTCCAGGACAGCCTCCAAAGCCACAGAGAAACCCTGTCTCGAAAAACCAAAAAAAAAAAAAAAAAAAAAAAAAAAGTTTCCTATCAAGAGTGATGCATCAATATCATAATTTTTTCCTTAATTTTGATTTGTTTGTTTGTTTTTGTTTTCAAGTCAAGGTTTCCCTGTGTATCCCTGGTTGTCCTGGAACTAGCTCTGTAGACCAGGCTGGCCTTAAACTCAGAGATCCACCTGCCTCTGCCTCCTGAATGCAGGGATTAAAGGCATGGAACACTACGCCTGACTTGAAATCAGATACTTTTATCTAACTTTATTTTTGTATGCATTGGTGTGAAGGTTTCAGATCCCCTAAAACCAGAGTTACAGACAGTTTTAAGCTGCCAAGTGCGTGCTGAGATTTGAACCCAGGTCCTCTGGAAAAGCAGTCAGGGCTCTTAACCACTGAGCCATCTAGCCAGACCCAGATCCTTTTATCCTTTTTGTTTTGTTTTGTTTTGTTTTTGTGTTTTTTTGGAGACAGGATTTCCCTGTGTAGCTTTGGAGCCAATCCTGGAACTAGCTCTTGTAGACTGGGCTGGTTTTGAACTCACAGAGATCTGCCTGCCTCTGCCTCCTGAGTGCTGGGATTAAAGGCAGGCGCCACCACCACCCAGCTCTATCTTGACGTATTTTAACAAGAAAGTTCTAAAAAACAAAGCTGAGTCATTTCTCCTGTCTTGGAGATTTTTTTCCTACCTAAATGTCACCTCAATCACTACCCAGGCAGTGACACCTACAGGCCAATGGAAATGATGAGGCCAAAGACAGCTCAGGCTGTGTCCCCACGTGGCTCCTTTCTCCTGGAATATACTTCCTGTGACTCTCTAGCTGCACAGCTCTCTTTTGAAGTCCTAAGTGTCGGAGCTGGGGCGGGAACGACCAAGTGGGCAAAGTGCCTGCTTTGCAAGCAAGAGGACCTGAATTTGACCCCGGCACCCACGGAAACACCTGGGTGCAGGAGGAGATGGCTCAGCCAGCAAAGGATTTGCCCCACCAAGGCAGACTGAGTTCAGTACTGGGACTCACATGGTGTAAAGAGAGAAGTGACTCAACAAATTGTCCTCACACACGCACTAAAGCATGCATTCACCCACACACATGCTCTTACCCCGCCCCGCCCATCTCCCACCACAATACATAAATATAAAGTATAGCTTTAAAAAGTAAGTCCTAATTATGGAGAGAAATCCCAGCTCCTGCAGGAAAGGGGTTTCAGGAAGGTTTTCAGAAAGAGCAAGTCTTGGGACTGGAGAGATGGCTCAGTGGTTAAGAGTACTGGGTTCAATTCCCAGCATCCACCTGGTGGCTCACAACCATCTATAGTGGGATCTTATGCCCTCTTCTGGCATAAAGGTGCACATGCAGATAGAGTACAGAGTTTTTTAAAAAGGGGGAATAAGAAAGAGCACGTCCTCTCCTGGTCTCACCTGCCCCACTGTGCAGCACGGAACACAGCCACAACCAGCCCTGGGCCCCATGACCCTGGTGGGCCTCATAGGACTCCACCTACAGGCACCCTGGGGCAAGTGCCACGTACTTGGGCAGAAGGGGCGTCTATTCCACTCTCCCTCACAGCACCACGCCACCTTGGGGCCACAGCGGGGCTTGTTGAAATACATTTGCCTGTTTGGAATCATTCACCATGGTTTTCTACCTTTCCTTGAAAAAGGGATTTCCTACCTTTTAGAAAAACGATGTCAGCGGGGGGCTGGAGAGATGGCTCAGAGGTTAAGAGCACTGGCTGCTCTTCCAGAGGTCCTGAGTTCAATTCCCAGCAACCACATGGTGGCTCACAACCATCTGTAATGAGACCTGGTGCTCTCTTCTGGCCTGCAGGCATACATGAAGTGCTGTATACATAATAAATAAATTCTTAAAAAAAAAGAAAAAAGAAAAACGATGTCAGCAATAAGGCCCCAGAAGGCAGAAATGAGGCATTTCTGTGAGAGAAATAAAAGTGTTTTTTTTGGGGGGGGTGTTTTTAGAAAAAATGATTGAAGGGGTGTTGAGGAGATGGCTTAGATGCTGCTCTTACAGAGGATCCTGGGTTCAATTCCCAGCACCCACATGGCAGCTCACAACTGTTCATAACTCCATTCTAGAGGACTCAGTGCCCTATTCTGGCATCCATGGATACACACACATAGGTAGTTCACAGATACACATTTAGGCAAAACATCCCTACATGTGAAATAGAGCAAAAATCATTTTAAATTTTTAAAATGGTTCGGGGCTAGTTTCAGTTTTTCTTATAGACCAGGCTGGCCTTGAACTCACAAAGATCCACCTGCCTCTGCCTCCTGTGTGATGGAATTAAAGGCTCCATATCTCATTTTTTTTGAGACAGGGTTTCTCTGTATTGTTTTGGAGGGTCCTGGAACTCGCGAGGTAGACCAGGCTGGTCTCGAACTCACAGAGATCCGCCTGCCTCTGCCTCCCGAGTGCTGGGATTAAAGGCGTGCGCCACCAACGCCCGGCTGCCATATCTCATTTTTACTGCCAAGGTCCTCAGAGATCATCTCTTCCACTATTTTCTGTTTGCAAATGAGGAAATTGCTGTTCTGAAACTTGCCCAGTGGCTCCCTCCCAGCCACACAGCAGGACCTGGCCTTGGGCCTGCTACCCTTCAGCCCAGCCACTCCTCACAATACCTCCCTGCCTTTCCAAGCCTCCTGTTTATGCATCTCGATGTTGGTCCTGAGAGCTGGTATTTCAGTTCCTGAAGGACAATTTCACAGAATGGACAGTTGTGCACCAACAGGAACCCGCCCAAACTTGGAATGAGAAACTCTAGGTCAATAGTAAACATCCACATCCCAAAAGGCTCTGAAGCCACCACGCCCCATGCCCCAGGACACAGATTTGCACACAAAACAACCCCCCCTTTTTTTTTAAATATGAGACAGGGTCTCACTATGTAGCTGGGTAACCTGGAACTCAATATGTAGACCAAGTTAACCGTGAACTCACAGATCTGCCCACCTCTGCTTCTTGAGTACTGAGATTAAAGGCGTGTACCATTATACCCTGCTAAACAACATGATTAAAATTTTTAACTGTTAGGAATGTTTTTACCGAGATCCTTCACCTGTCACTCACTCGTGTGGGGAGTGTTTATTCTGTGTGTGAGGGTGTGTGTGGAAATCAGGACTTAGTTCTCTCCCCCACCATTCAGGGCTCCGACTTAAGTTGTAGCATGGTTACCGACAGCCATTTTGCTGGCCCCAAACCCACAATTTTGTTTTGTTTGATTTAAAAGGCCTGATATTTAGGGAAAGTGCTGTTTCTGTAACGTGCCATGCCTTGGCATGTTGCTGATGAAGCTGTAAACATGAACTAGAGTGTTTAGTCCTCTGAACATCCCTGCTTCCTTTTCTCATGCAGCAATACAGTTTGATGAAATACAAGTGTTTGGTTACACGGCCTGGTCTCTCCTGGATGGCTTTGAGTGGCAGTATGCCTATACCGCTCGCCGAGGACTGTTTTATGTGGACTTTAATAGTGAACAGAAAGAAAGGAAACCCAAGACCTCGGCACATTACTACAAACAGATCATACAAGAAAACGGTTTCCCTTTGAAAGAGTCCACACCAGACATGCAGGGCCACTTTCCCTGTGACTTCTCCTGGGGAGTCACCGAGTCTGTTCTTAAGGTGAGTGACGACTTCTAAATAAACCACATGCTAGGGGAGAGGGTACAATATGTTTCTACAAATGTTATGTGTTTGGATGTTTTGCTTACACATATGTCTGTGTGCCTGGTGCCCACAGAGGCCAGAAGAGGGCATTGAATCTTCTAGGACTGGAGGCACAGAAAATTATGAACATCCATGTAGATGCTCTGAAATACTAGTCAATGCTCTTCTCCAACTGTGATTGTTAAAAACTTTATTACATTTAATTGTATTATTAATGTGGTGCATGTCTTAGTTAAGTTTTCATTGTTATGAGGAGACACCAGGATCACAGCAACTTTTTTGTTTTTGTTTTTGTTTTTGTTTTTTCCGAGACAGGGTTTCTCTGTGGCTTTGGAGGCTGTCTTCTGGAACTAGCTCGTGTAGACCAGGCTGGTCTGGAAGTCACAGAGATCCTCCTGCCTTTGCCTCCTGAGTGCTGGGATTAAAGGTGTGCGCCACCATTGCCCAGCTACCACCACCGCAACTCTTTTTTTTTTTTTCTTTTTTTTTGGTTTTTCGAGACAGGGTTTCTCTGTGGCTTTGGAGGCTGTCTTCTGGAACTAGCTCGTGTAGTCCAGGCTGGTCTCGAACTCACAGAGATCCGCCTGCCTCTGCCTCCCAAGTGCTGGGATTAAAGGCGTGCGCCACCAACGCCCGGCCACAGCAACTCTTACAAAAGAAAACATTTAATTGAGGCGGCTCACTTACAAGTTTCAGAGTTCAGTTCATTATCATCATGACGGGGAGTATGGCAGTATGAAGACAGACTTGGTGCTGGAGCTGAGAGTGATACATCTTGCAGGCTACAGGAAGTTGACTGACTGTCACACTGAATGAAGCTTAAGAAAAGACCTCAAAGCCCGCCCCCACAGTGACACACTTCCTCCAACGAGGCCACAAGTTCTTAATAATGCTATTCCTTTTGGGGGTCATTTTCTTTCAAACCACCACAGTGCGTATTGTGGCACATGTGGAGGTTAGAGGTCAAATTTGAGGACTTAGAGCTTTCCGTCTACCTTTATATGGGTATGAGGGATTGAACTCAGGTCTTTTTTTTTGTTTGTTTGTTTTTTGTTTTTCGAGACAGGGTTTCTCTGTGGCTTTGGAGGCTGTCCTGGAACTCACTTGGTAGTCCAGGCTGGTCTCGAACTCACAGAGATCCGCCTGCCTCTTGAACTCAGGTCTTTAGGCTTCACCAACTGAGCCATCTCCCTAGTCTGAATCCCCCTGGTTTTTATTGGCATATGTTAATTATACGAGCTAATGTGTTTCAGTATCACCCTTCACATGTATCTAAAACACACTTTGGTCATGTTCACCTCTGCATTATACGCCGTACCCTCCCACTGCCCTCTTCTTTACGATCGTCTTTACGTGGTCTCTTAGTAGACAACCACGTACATTGTCCACAGCTAGGTTTCCTGGGAGTCTATAAAGGGCAATGCATTTTGTTTGATCTTGCCTTGTTTTGTGGCAAGATGACCTTTTATAAAGATCTTTTTTAACAACACTGGGATGTTCTGAACTTTTCAGAACACTGGAGCTGGCCTGGGCTGGGCAGCCTGCTCAGGTAATTCATTATACACAGATTGAACGTCACTCACACGATCAGTGCTCTCTCTCAGTTTAATGTTCTAGATAACTGGTTGGCAGATGGCAAGTGGGCAGTCATATGGCTTTGTAATTAGACTATGAAAGATGACCCATGAGAAAACAATTAGAAGGAAAATATTTACCAAGGGTTAATTATCAATTTTTCTGGGGTATTTAAATTCAGTCACAGGGGGAAGGTAGTTTAACACAAGCTCAGAATTTTTCCTTGCTCTAATTAATCTTGAATTTGGAATGTTTTCCTTACATCTTTTGTTTTATTAGTTTTTTGAGCAGGGTTTCTTTGTGTAGCCCTGGTTGTCCAGGAACTAAACCCAAGTCACCTTGCCTTTGTACGATGGTTTCCAGCTGAGGCCCCTTCTTCCCAGGGCATGTATTTAGTCCTCAGAGTGCAATTGGGAAGTGGGTGACACAGGACCATCCCCATATGATTGTGCAGCCCAAGCCCAAAGAGGAAAATTCGGGGCTGAGGGATAGCTAAGTTGGCATAGTGCCTGCCTATACAAACAGGGCCCTGGGTTTGATCTGTAGCATCACATTGGCTAGGTGTAGTGGCTTATGGCTGTATGCCCCGCACTTAGGAAGCAGAGAAAAGAGAAGCAGGAGCTCCAGGTCATCCTCAGGTACTTACTAGGTTTAAGGCTGGTCCGGGGTTGTATGAGCCACCCCTCCCCCAACACACACACACACACACACACACACACACACACACACACACACACACACACACACACACACACAGGAAAAGCAAGACAGAAAAGTCCATGACTCATGACTCTCCAAAGTGGAAAGATAGGGAGATCCAAAGTCAGTCCTTGGGATTTGGGGTTATTTCATCATCTTCCCCCTCATTACTGAAGCTCTTTGCATAGGGGAATGTTCTATACTCTGCTGTTGAGTGATTGCTCACAGACACATGGTAGAGGAGATACTGTATAAAAATGGGATATCCTTGGACCTTCCTTCCTTAAAATTTTTTTTGAAGGGCTAGAAGGATAAGGCCCTTTCTCCCATATTACGAGCAGAACAGCCAGCACACAGAAACCATTATGAAAAACAAAGTTATTTATCTTGTAGTCTCTGCCTCAAACTGGTAGTAATCCTCCTGCTTCAGTCACTTGAGAGCTGAGATTATAGACATGACCACCACTGTTGGCTATCACCTGAACTTTTCAATCAGTAACTGCTGATAGTTGTGACCAGCACATGCAAGAGGTCACTGCCTACTGTCACCCCTCCCACAGCCTCTTTCAGGGATGGTCTAGCTTAACCAGCCTCCTCTGAACCAAGCTGCTCTCGGTGACTCCTTTACAACTTCTCTTTTCCCTTTGGCATGAACTTAGGACAGGACTTAGAATCCATCTTTCATGATGGCCTTTGGCTGAGGGCACCAAGCCAATTTCCTGATGCGTTTGAACACCATCACAGGAGATGCCATATAACCTGGATCTGTAGGTCAAATGAGCTGGAAAATGGCCTCTTAGAGTTTCTCAAACAGCTGTTCTCCCTCTCCTCTGTGTGGTTCCCTCCCTGTGTTTCCTGGTCTCCCTGGAGATTTGAAGGGCTAGGATAAAGGCCTTTCCCCCATATCGCCAACAGAACCGCCACAACACCGAGCACATTATGAAGGACAAAGTTATTTTATCTTGTAGTGAGAGGCTTCGTGAGGCTCAGTTCTTCTGATCTGAGGGGGTGCCAGGAGCCACACTTGATTGACCTGAATGCTCTTGTTTTCCACAGCCGGAGTTTATGGTTTCCTCCCCACAGTTTACCGACCCTCACCTCTATGTGTGGAATGCCACTGGCAACAGATTGCTACACCAAGTGGAAGGAGTAAGGCTGAAAACAAAACCATCCCACTGCACAGACTATGTGAGCATCAAAAAACGAGTTGAGATGTTGGCCAAAATGAAAGTCACCCACTACCAGTTTGCTCTGGACTGGGCCTCCATCCTTCCCACTGGCAATCTGTCCGAAGTTAATAGACAAGTGCTAAAGTACTACCGGTGTGTGGTGAGTGAAGGACTGAAGCTGGGAGTCTCCCCCATGGTGACGCTGTACCACCCCACCCACTCGCATCTAGGCCTCCCTGAGCCGCTTCTGAACAGAGGGGGATGGCTAAACACATACACCGCCAAGGCCTTCCAGGACTACGCAGGGCTATGCTTCCGGGAACTGGGGGACTTGGTGAAGCTCTGGATCACCATCAATGAGCCTAACAGGCTGAGTGACATGTACAACCGCACGAGTAATGACACCTACCGTGCAGCCCATAACCTGATGATTGCCCATGCCCAGGTCTGGCGTCTCTACGACAGGCAGTATAGGTCGGTCCAGCGTGGGGCTGTGTCTCTGTCCCTACATTCTGACTGGGTCGAACCTGCCAACCCCTATGTGGACTCGCACTGGAAGGCAGCCGAGCGCTTCCTCCAGTTTGAGATCGCCTGGTTCGCCGATCCGCTCTTCAAGACTGGTGATTACCCACTGGCCATGAAGGAGTATATCGCCTCCAAGAACCAGCGAGGGCTGTCCCGCTCAGTCCTGCCACGCTTCACCCCGAAGGAGAGCAGGCTGGTGAAGGGCACCATCGACTTCTATGCTCTGAACCACTTCACTACTAGGTTCGTGATACACAAGCAGCTCAACAGCAGTCGCTCTGTTGCAGATAGGGACATCCAGTTCCTGCAGGACATCACCCGCCTGAGCTCGCCCAGCCGCCTGGCTGTGATGCCCTGGGGAGCACGCAAGCTGCTTGGGTGGATCCGAAGGAACTATGGGGACATGGACATCTATATCACAGCCAATGGCATCGATGATTTGGCTCTGGAGAATGATGGGATCCGGAAGTACTACTTGGAGAAGTACATCCAGGAGGCTCTGAAAGGTGAGTTTTGGGGAGCTCACACAGTGAGGTGAGAGAGGTATATGAACTGACAGCAATGAAAAGCTGGGCACAAATGCCACCAGCTACTCAGATCCTGTCCATTGGATTTCCTCCTTATGAAAAAAAACCTGTTCTCTTTTGAGACAGTCTCTTTAGTCCTGAGCCTTTGAACCCACTATGCAGGCCAGACTGGCCTTGAACTCACCTATTTTTCTGCCTTCCAAGTGCTGGGAATAAAGGCGTGCACCACCACCTCCTGGCATTCAGTAATGTTCTTTTTAAACAAGGTCTATCTAGTCAACCAGGATGGCCTCCAACGCCAGGCTGAGCCCTATCCTCCTACCTCAGCCTTCCAAGTAGTGGGATTACAAAAGCCTCGACCACCACATCTGGACTTTTTTTTTTTTTTTGGTTTTTCGAGACAGGGTTTCTCTGTATTGTTTTGGAGGCTATCGGTCCAGCCCAGCCTCGAACTCACAGAGATCCGCCTGCCTCTGCCTCCCGAGTGCTGGGATTAAAGGCGTGCGCCACCACCGCCCGGCCACATCTGGACTTTTATAAAGTGGAATAAACTCATTACTGAAAATTTGGAAAACATTGTTTTCCTAAATAACACCTGAAATCTCACTTTCTAAGAAAAGCACAATTAGCCCTGAAAACTACACTTTTTCTTTGGGGGGGGCGTTTTGAGACAGGGTTTCTCTGTGGCTTTGGAGGCTGTCCTGGAACTTCCTCTGTAGATCAGGCTGGCCTCAAACTCACAGAGATCCACCTGCCTCTGCCTCCCGAGTGCACCACCACTGCCCAGCTGAAAACTAAATTCTTATTCAAAGACATTTTACTGTCCATTTGTAATCACCAATGTTCTTTTCTGCTTTTTTTTTCTAGCGTACCTTATTGACAAGGTCAAAATCAAAGGCTATTACGCATTCAAACTGACAGAAGAGAAATCTAAGCCTAGATTTGGGTTCTTCACGTCTGACTTTAGACCTAAGTCATCAGTCGAGTTTTACAGCAAGCTGATCAGCAGCGGCGGCTTCCCCTCTGAGACCAGCAGTCCCGCATGTGGTCAGCCTCCAGAAGACACCGGCTGCTCCCTCTGCTCACTTCTCACCCACAAGAAACCTCTCATCTTCTTTGGTTGCTGCTTCATCTCCACTCTGGCTCTACTGCTGTCAATCACCATTTTTCATCATCGCAAGAGAAGAAAATGTCAGAAATCAAAGAACTTACAAAATATACCCCTGAAGAAAGGCCACAGTAGAGCTCTTAGCTAAACTCTCATTCATGTCAGTTTAAAGGTTCACTCCAGTTCCATGTACTGGTAACGTACAATGTGAGAGACATCTGTAGCCAAGGTGATGACAATCGATGCCTTAGGTATTGACAATTAGTGAATTCATTCAGTTCTTAGCTGAAGGCTTCATCCTGACAGTAATTCTGGGGATGACCCCAAACGCGACTTCAGGAAGTGTGAAGTATTGTTTTACACCATTTTTCTCTAGTTCTGTTCTGTAAATAGCAATCACTATTCATGGTAAAGGAATTAATCTTTAAAAGTGAAATGCTGTTGTTTTATACTTCATGGTTTAAAACTATTTTTTGTTGCTGTTGTTTTTGAGACATGGTCTATTATGTATCTCTGGCTGTCCTGGAACTCAAAGGTCCCACCTGCCTCAGCCTTCGGAGTACTGGGATTAACGGCGTACACCACCACACCCAGCTAACACTATTCTTTAAACTGTCACTTCTAACAAGGTGCTCTTCTGTTTAGGTCAGGTAGTCCTCAGATGGAATGTAGAAACATAACAGGATTTTAGATGCTTGTCCATAGGCAGTTACAGCATAGGCTCTGAAACACACCAATCCTAGCTTTTTTTTTTTTTTAACAAAATACCAGGCATTTTCTAAACATTCAATTGTGTGTGCTCTCTCTTACTGGACTTTTGATTGGTGGGGTAAGGAGGAAGGTTCAAGACAGGGTACTTCTGTGTATTTCTTGCTATCCTGGAACTCGCTCTGTAGACAAGGATGGCCTTGAACTCAAGAGATCCATCTGCCTCTCAAGTGCTGGGACTAAAGGACGGGGGTGGGGGCAGGGGGGAGCCCACTACACCCAACTTGGACTTCTGATTTTAAAAGTAGTTTTCATAACTCGTCATAGAACGACCACAGGATGGACAACTAGACTCAAGTGTCTGTCAAGGTCAGTTAGCCTTACAGCACAGTAATTTCCATTTTAAAATAAACTGATTTCAAGGTGAGAAGATCTGGCACACAGGAAAGTTAAAAAGATGTAGATTTTACAATGGGTATTACCATTATTCATGGATTCCTGCTGTCCCCTAGAGCTTCGTAACTTTCTCATGCACTGTCTCATGAATTCAGCATGTTAATTTGAATGACCTAATATAAGTTTACTTTTTAAGGCTAGCACTAAGTTTCAATTTGGATGTTTTATATTTAAGGAACCATGCTTGATTTGATCACGAACACTAAGGATAACTTGAATGTGTACCCATTCACATCCATTCTTTCAAGTCAACATGTACATAACCATGTTACCCAGTCATTGTGAACCCTCTCCAGGAATTTAGGCTGAGGATTCAAAGAAAAGTAGCTCTTTCATAAAGAGCCTTAGTAATAAAGCATCCTAAAATATAAGGTGATTTTAATTGTACTTCACATCTACCTATTGTTATCTGTCCCTAATTGTCCTGGAACTCACTCTATAGACCCACCTGCCTCTGTCTCCTAAGTGCTGGGTTTAAAGGTGTGTGCCACTACTGCCCAATACAAAATTATGATTTTTAAAAATATTTACACAGCTTTTTATGAATTTATTATGTATACAGTGTTCTGCCTCTATGTATCCCTGCAGTCCAGAAGTGGGCACCAGATCTCATTACAGATGGTTGTGAGCCACTATGTGGTTGCTGGGAATTGAACTCAGGTCCTCTGGAAGAGCAACCAGTGCTCTTAACTGCTGAGCCATCTCTGCAGCCCCAAAATTATAATTCTTACCATCATTAATTTCCAAAAATTATAGATAGCACATACAAAAGTGATGAGAAATAAAGTTGCCATCAGACTAGTTAAATCTAACAGTAGAGCTCTGCTTTTCTGCTTCTGGTTCTCCTTTTTAAAATGTGTATGAGTGTTTTGCTTGTATGCATATATGCACCACTTGTATGCCTAGTGTCCTTGGAAGACAGAGAGGCATCAGATCCCCTGCACTGGACTTACAGATGGATGTGAGCCAATATATGGGTGCTAGAAATCAAACTTGGGTCCTCTGTAAGAACAGTCAATGCTCATAACCAGAGTCATCTCTCCAACGTTAGCAGTTCTGAAGACTGAGTTTCTTTGAGACAGGGTCTCACTACATAGCCCTGGCTGGCCTGGAGTTCACTATACAGACCAGGCTGGCTGGTCTTGAGCTCCCCTTGCCTGTCTCCTTTGCAGAGAACTGTGCCTAATGACACCCATTGTGGTTGGCTGGACAGTTGTATTGTTAGCCACATAGAAAAGCTATGGATTTTTTTTTAAAGTAAAAAACTTCTAGAATTGGGTATTTTGCCTGCATACATGTATGGATGAGCACCTAGTACTTCTGAAGGTCAGGATACAAGATCTCATAGAACTGGAGTTAAAAAATGGTTGTGAGCCCCATGGGTGCTGGGAATAAAACCCAATTCCTCTGAAAGAGCAACAGTGCTCCTAACAACTGAGATGCCTCTACAGGCCTACTTGGGTTTTTGTTTTTTGAGACAGGGTTTCTCTGTACTGCTTTGGAGCCTGTTCTGGAACTCTCTGTAGACCAGACTGACCTTGAAGGCAGAGATTCACCTGCCTCTGCCTCCCATGTGCTGGGACTAAAGGCATGTGCCACCAATGCCTGGCCTACTTGGGTTTTTAAGTCACACAAAGTATAGTCCACTCCAGAAATACTTAAAAAAAAATCGGGCTGGAGAGATGGCTCAGAGGTTAAGAGCACTGGCTGCTCTTCCAGAGGTCCTGAGTTCAATTCCCAGCAACCATATGGTGGCTCACAACCATCTGTAATGAGATCTGGTACCCTCTTCTGGCGTGCAGGCAGAACATTGTATACATATTATTAATAAATAAAATCTTTAAAAAAATTCTTAAAAAAATCACCTTATTAGTCTTTTTTTTTCTTTTGGTTTTTGAGACAGAATGTTTATGTCGTTCTGGAGCCTGTCCTGGAACTCACTCTGTAGACCATGCTGGCCTCGAACTCATTCACCCTTTTCTGCTTCCTGAGTGCTGGGATTAAAGGCGTGTGTCACCAATGCCCGGCAGCCTTTATCTTAACATTTATAACAGCTGGACAATGGCATACACCTTTAATCCCAGCACTTGGGAGGCAGAGGCAGGTGGATCGCTGTTTGAGGCCAGCCTGGTCTACAAAATAATTTCCAGAACAGCCAGGGCTATTACAGAGAAACCCTGTCTTGAAGACCCCTCTGCCCCAATAACTCTAAACCTCCATGTTAGTCTAAAAATGCAGAAGCAATAAGAGTAACAGAGCTTGGAATCAACATGTTTAAGGTTTTTTGTTTGACTGGGTTTCATTATGGACTAGGTTGGCCTCAAAGTGGCAGTGAGTGATCCTGCCTCATGCTCAGTGTCCCCAGTTCAGTTATGGTTTCCAACTCCACTTAACATGACTATTTTTTTTATGGCAGGTCTCATGCAGTCCAAGCTGAAGTGTAAACATTACATATCTCAGGATAACCTCCACGAGCCCCCAATCCTCCTGCTTCAACTCCACTGCATGAGTCACAGGGATATACCACCACACACACAAATAAAATCTTTCCTCCCTAATAACATGTTCCCATTAAGGTTAGAACGTTCCTTCCCAAACTTGTCTTGTTGAGTTCACCATTTCTAAGTTCCTAGCCCAATGCTGCCATATGTGGGGATTATGGGAATATGTGTGCAGTTACCTATTTTAATGGATCATATAAAAATTAGGTCACAATTGAGTGACAGTGAGTTCAAGTCTCCAAAACTCAGGTAAGGGATATGGCTCAATGGGACTTTAAATTTGCCTAGCACACACAATAGGTTTGAGTGCCAATACCGAGAATATTCTTAACCCAATTGAGTAGCTGCAGAAAAAGATGTGTCACTAGCCGGGCGTTGGTGGTGGGTGCCTTTAATCCCAGCACTCGGGAGGCAGAGGCAGGCGGATCTCTGAGTTCGAGGCCAGCCTGGTCTACAGAGCAAGTTCCAGGACAGCCTCCAAAGCCACGGAGAAACCTTGTCTCGGAAAAAAAAAATGTCACTTTACATATTCAATAAAACTCATCTTGGGTGAAATCCTTTAAATACTGCCCTAACTAGTGTTTGTCCAGAGTCCGGGAAGTGAGGTACCTTGTTTAAATGTTTTACCCTTCAGCGCTACACCAAACCTGGTTGATACCAACTATTTATATTGAGCAATCTGGCTGGAGTTGAATGGTTGAGGCTAGCCTTGAAGCTCTTATCCTGCCTCCACCTATGTTAGGATCAGACAGGTACATGCCACATGTACATGCAGGGGCTTCAATTCGAGCAAATTACTCTGCCAGGGGAGCTATAACCTGGCCTGTTTTGATAGTTAGACATGTTGGTGCACACCTTTAATCCCAGCACTGGGGATGCAGAGCAGGTGATCTGAGTTTGAGACCACCCCCATCTACAGTTCCAAATCTCAAAAAATAACCAATGACTAATGTCTACAGAATTAAAGAAGCCTTGGTTTTGTAAACTCGATGATCTGATTTTGAGTCCTACAACCCAAGTAAGATTCCAAGTTATCAACACCATGCCTAGGCACCTACCTACATAGACTCCTTTATTACTCTTTCAGCACTTACATCGAGTTGCTGACAATCACCTTTGGGATTCCAGCTCCAGGGGAATTGATACCTCTGGACACATGTGAATATATCTTCTCACACACACCAAACAAGCATAGTTCAATTGGTCATTATGTGTATTCGGAGCATTGGGTAAGATAAGTATTGCCTCAAACACCAACTGCATGTACATGTGTACACATGAACAAAAAGCTAGCTGTGGTAGTGCTTGCCTGCCATGCTAGCACCCAATAGGTAGGTAGAGGCAAGAGGATTAGGAATTTGAGGCCATAATAGAGCAACTTGTCCAAGAAAGTAAAAGTCTGGGGACAACCTTCAGTATTTGCTGGGTTCGCTCACTCTTCACCACCAGGTGGATAGGGAAGTAATTCACACAAAATACAAGTTACTAAGTCTAGAACATTATATTCAAAGCCTGCAACCACCCCCAGTGTTCCAAAAGAACCCCAGGCTCATTGCTTCATTTGTAATCCACCAAGCCGTAACCTGATCCTCTTCAGAGGTAGAATCACAACCAAGATAATACTGAGAACTTACACAGAAATGACTGTAACTTACATTTTTAAGTCCTTACTGATGATCTACACACCCAATAGTCACTATGATGACTGGGCCAAAGTCAAACACTTCTAGGATCATCCCAAAGTACCATGTCCATCGAACACGTACCAGGTCAATTGCCTGTCATTGGCACCACACTCCTGTTTTCTTACAAAATGTCATATCATGATCCACCTGCCTCTGTCTCCAGAGTGCTGGGATTAAAGGTGTGCACCACTAACGCCAGGCAGTTGTGTCATTCTTTATGTCACTTGTTTACAGGAAGAAAAACAAAACAAACGGTTGTGTTCTTCCTTGAATAGTAGTTGAGCTATCTGCTAAGTAATCAATCAGCAAAGATTAAGGACACGCCAAATCAATACAAGTCTTTTATTGTCCCAAAAGACACCCCAAATTATACTTAAATTCAGGATCTTGTTTCTGGAACTGGGTAACTGTAAAAACAAAACACATTTAAATTTGATCAATATTCCTGACCAGAAAAGAAAGTTAAACTCACCTACATTGTAAACTATACAGAGTAAAACGAATTCACCTATGATATACGATTGAGGCCAAGTACTGATTTAATAATTTTTAACACAACAAGCTCCATCTAAAGTAGTCCACTGTAGATACACAAACCTACCTTAGGTCTTACTCATCAGCCTGCTGTACTGTTCCCTTTTCAGACACATAGATACCATCCAAAAACTTCCTGATATCTTTGTTTTTAACTGTTGTGGCTTGCTGAATCAGAGCCGCTATATAGAAAGAAGCAAAATAAGCCATTACTTCACTAGTCAAATTGTCTACAAGCATAATTAACAACTGGAGCTCAATCCCTGGAGCCTACATGATGGAAGGAGACCCCTTCACTGCCCTCAGTTCTCAACTGAGTGCAGGCAGCTGCATATACACACTAATATAAACACAGAAATTTTTTTCTCAGAAAAGCCAGTCACTGGCTACCCATCACTTAGAACTGCATATACGCCACGATATATTCATGGCACAAAAATATGGTATACACAGAACAGATTTGGAACAATGTTTGACCTCTCAGAAGTGTCAAAACAGAAACCAGACATGAACTCAACATCAAGGCTGAGATAAAAAAATTTGACAGGGGCTGGGCGTTGGTAGCGCACGCCTTTAATCCCAGCACTGGGGAGGCAGAGGCAGGCAGATCTCTGTGAGTTCGAGGCTGGGCTGGACCGATAGCCTCCAAAACAATA